TGCCAGTGTACTGGGTTTTATAGGTAGAACCAGAGTGTGCACAAGTCCACTGGCAATGGCACATGTGTGCATATCATTCGATAGATTGCACCTGCAGCATTGTTTGCATATCTGCAAGTCCTCATATTAGGAACTATAATAACCGTTCACCTCTACAGTCTGCTTTCAGTATCCGCGACAATTCTGTTTCCATGCTGCCACTGTCCCTTTAAAATCGTGGGCTTCTATTTTGCTTACAAGTGTCTTGTATGATACTATCTAATACGCCTTTTTAAAATGCATAACAACACCAACTGTAGAATCTTATTCCACCCTCTTCGTTAATTCATTAAAAAAATTATCTGGTTTGTTGGACTGTATTGGCTCTTCTAAATTAAACCAAAATTTTCTTTGTGGAGATGTATTTTGTCCCGGATTGCACCACTTATTTCCTTTAGTAAACTAGCATTCACCCCGTGCGATCCGGGTGTCTTATCTAGCCTGAGCACCGATTGATTTGTCGAAATTTCTCTCGTTTTATTCTTGAGCTACACAATTTCTCTGCCCGCGTATCCGATACTGTTGCGTTGGCTGCATCCGCATCTTCTGTGACCACGGGAGAAACATCTATCTATACCTTTGAAGGGATTGTCCCCAATGACAGTTTCATTGAAACTCTTCTCTGTGTCCCACAGAGCATCCATTTGCCATTGGCTCCTCTCCACAGAGTTGTCATCACCCTGACGGGACAAATGTGTTAATGCCACACATTCATGTGAATTCTGCACTGACCGTCCCCTCTTCCTACCACAAGCACAGATACTCTCTCTGAATCCTCTATGGCTGTGGGATGACAACCTCCTGAAACGTGAGGTCCATGAACACACAGAGTCACTCATTCCTTCACTGTCTGTCTCCCATATGCACTCTGCCTGTCTACAATGGAGAGAGTGAGAGAGAGAATGTGTGTGTATATGAGACACTCAGAGAGAGAGTGAGATAAAGAATGTGAGAGACAGAGACAGAGTGTAATATTGTGAGAGTGAGTGTTAGAGAGAGAGGGAGGAACAACATGTCCTTGTGTAAAGGCCTTTCATGTCGGGAGGATGTCCAAGGCCGACGGACAGACAGAGATTCCGAGTTACTTCGCAGTTTCTCAACAACAAACAATAAACTGCATTTATTTCTCCTCCTTCACGGAGGATCAGGACTCGGAGCTTCTCCTCAGTTTTGGTTTATAATTGACGAATCCATTTTCATTCCTTTTCATGTGTTTATGTCAATAAACTCTTTCGCAATGAATCCCACGACATTAATTGTGTTGCTCAGTCCCTGGGTCTGATTGTCAGCGTCTAGTGCTAAAGAGCGGTCAGACACAGACAGCAATTCACTGCTTCTCCTTCTCTCCTCGTGGATTTGAGGGAAGTAATCATTTGCTGTGATTCAGTTCGGGTTCAAATTACAAATAAAATCCTGCAGTTCCACAGTACTGCCACCAGATGCTGGTGTTGCACTGTGTAACTGTTCACTTTATTCTGAGTATTTAGACTATTTATAATAATTCGGCATTTGATATTGCGCTGCTCACGTCTTGCAGACGCCTCGAAGCGCTTGTTTAGTCAATTCCCTTCTCCTCCTTGAGGGGAGGTGACCAGAGTCTCCCTGGAGCTGATCTGGAGCTCTGCAACTCATGTGGAATGGAGCCATTCCTGCGTGATGTTCACTCGGGTGGACACTGTGATCACTGCCTGTCCCGGGCTGTGTGTGTGTGTGTGTGTGTGTGCGTGCGTGTCTGTGTGTGAGTTTCTGTGCCTGTGTGTGTGTGTGTGTGTTTGTGTGTGTGTGTGTTAAGAGTGTGTATTATTGTGCCTGTGTTGTGCGTGTGTCCTGTGTGTCTGTGTGTGTCTGTTTGTTTCTGTGTGTGTTTGTGTCTGCGTTTCTGTGTCTGTGTGCCTGTGTCTGTGTCTGTCATCTGTCTGTCTCTGTATCTGTCTGCGTTGATGCTCGTGTGTATCGCTGTCTGTGTGTGTATGTTTGTGCTTTGTGTGTGTGTGTGCGTGTCTCTCTCTCTGTGTGTATATGTGTGTGACTGTGTGTGGTTGTGTGTCTAACACCCTGAGTTACAAGACACTTTACAAAAACACTTTGCATTGAATCCTGTAAAAACTCAGTCACGACACTATCCTGTGAAGCGCATTGAGACGTCTCAAAGTCGTGATAAGGCGCTTGGATAAAGACAATTATTATTATCATTGTTATTACAAAAAGACTTTTTAATCGCCCAAAACACCACGTCTCCCCTTTAAGAAGAGCACGGACTCGCTTTAAATCCAAAATACTGTCTGCAGTTTTATATAATTTTTTTTGATGCAGTTTTTTGATAGTGATTCATATTCTAATGATGAAGATTTTTATTGTGCAAATAGAAATTAAATTATTGGCAAAATAAGTTTGTTTGATTCCAAATCCGTCATTTCTTCCCTTGGAAATAAGACATTTTCTCCAACACTTGTGATAGAAATCAGGTAATACCTGTCTTAGGCTGTTTCAATTTGTTAATCACAACTTACGGCTGATTAAGTTTGCAAAAGACTTTGCTGAATTATTTTACTTTCCTTGAAGCGTGTGAGTCTGTCAGACGAATACAATTGTTTTGATATACTGAGTTATTTATATTTTTATACTGTGTGTGTACAGGAGAGACACCGGGAGAGGCTGTGTGTGTGTGGGAGATATTGGAAGAGGCTGTTTGTACAGGAGAAAGATTGGGAGAGCTGTGTGTATACAGGCAGGACACTGGCAGTGGCTGTGTATATACAGGGGAGTCAGTGGAAGAGGTTGGTTTATACAGTGGAAGACACGGGAAGAGGCTACGTGTACAGGAGAAACACTGGGAGAGGCTGTGTGTATACAAGAGAGACAGCGGGAGAGGTAGGTGTGAAGGTGTGAAGTTTCTCCATTTCATTGTGTGTAAAGGAGGAACGCTGGGAGAGGTTGTGTGTATACAACCGGAGGCACTGGAAATGGCTGTTTATACAGAAGAGACCCACAGAGAGTCTTTGTGTATACAGGAGAAACATGGGAGTGGTTGGGTGTATCAATGCCAAATAATGATCCATCAAGAAAAAAAAATGGTAATTTGATCACTCAATCCATGACTGTTTGTGGGTCGCTGCTGTGCGCAATTGGCTGCTGCGTTTCATCCACATATGGACAGTCAAATCACTTTACAGCATATTTTGTAAAGCGCTTTGAGACGTCTGGAAGATGTGATAAGGCACTGGCTCAAATGCAAGAATTATATTATTTTTATTATTATATTGTTACAGAGTGAAATCCTTTCATGCCCCGCCAAAACCCTGCAGCACCACTTTACTGCCACCAGAGGGCGTGCTGCACTGTGTAACTGCCCACAGTATTCTCAGCAAATAATAATAGTAATAATCTTGTCATTCGATATTGGCTGTTGACGTCTTACAGACACCTGAAAGCGCGTGTTTAGCAAAAAATATCCCTTCTACTCCTTTAGGGGAGGTGAAAAGTGTCTCCCTCGAGCTGATCTGGAGGTTGGCAACCAGTGTGGGAATCAAGCCAGTCTTGTGTGATGGACACTCGGATGGACATCGCGATCTCCGCCTGTCCCGGACTGTGTGTGTGTGTGTCTGTGTCTCTGGGTATGTGTGTGTGTCTCTCTGTGTCTGTGTGTCTGTGCGTTTGTGTTTCTGTGTATGAGTGTCTCTGACGTTATGTGTATCGGGGTGTATCTTTGTGTGTGCCTGTGTGCGCGTGTCTCAATCTGTGTGTGTGTCTTGGTGTGTCTGTGCATAGAGAGGAAACTTGCACAAGGTTTCGCCCCCAATTGGGGATTGACCCCCTGTCTCTGGCTTGCGAGGCGAGGGCTCTAATCACTGAGCTACAGGACCTGTTACAGAGACAGTTTACGGTATATACTGTGATGCGCTTCGAGACGTTCCGAAGACGTGATAACACTCTGTGTCAAATACAAGGATTACTATCATTATTATAAAAAGGGCTTTAACCCCAAAATACCTCCTCTCCCCTTTAAGAGAGGGACGGCCTCGCTTTAAATCCCGAATATGGTCAACAGATCAAAATCCTGCACTGGCCCCGTGAACGAATCCCAGCCCCGGCCCCGCCCCCCCCCCCCCCAACCGCCCCAGCCCCTGCCCCAATCCAGCCCGACCCCAGCTCCGGCCACGCCCCCAAACCCAGCCCCGCCCCTATTTGTCTCCAGTTTGTAGCAAAGCCTACAGCGGCTGATTGACAGAGAGAAAGATAGAAAGTGAGAGTGAGTGTGAGAGAGAGGGAGAGAGTTAATGCAAAAAGCGGTTTATATATTTGGGATTAATGCAGAATTGGGAATATTTTGCACTGATGCACTTTAAACCCCGATGATCTGAGGGGAATTTACACCCGTTTCCCGTGTTTGTCCTCGGCTGTGGGATTGCAATCAAAACCCAAAGTTAACGCAAAACCGTATTTATATCATTGTGATTAACGCAAACATTGGGGTTTATTAAACTATTGCACTTGAAACACCGCGGAAATGGGGGCTTTTAAAACCGTTTCCCGTGTTGTACACAGAGAGCGCGTTATTATTTAAACAGAAAGTCAATGATAAACCCCATGGGTATCATTGGGATTAACGCAGATTTATAAAGCCTGGGATAGGCTTTGAGACGTCTGGCAGAAGTCAAGAGGAGCTGTGTACAATGTGGGGATTATTATTGTCGAGATCAGGAGCTGAAAGCTCCAGACTGATGTTCATTATGTCATAGTTGACTTACTTTAGATTTTCTTCGTGCAAATTAGCTTTATATTCGCTCACAGACACAACCGTCGCTTCACAGTCGATTCCGAGAAAGGATTGAGCTGCGATCCCAGTGTGAAAGGTGTCATATAAACCACAAGCTTTATTGTATAAGGACACAGATTATAAAAGGTTAGGTCTCGTGGCCATCGCCGCCAAACACAGGTCATGGCTGAGGGTTTCCTGCTCATTAATCTGTCACTCGGCAGATCCTCAGAGGATCACAGATTTTGCCGCCATCATCAACACCGGGATAGAAGTAAGGATAAAGTTTCTCAGTGAAAGTCTGTGTGAAAGTGTGGAGATGAGACATGTTATCAGCGTTGTAAAATGTCACCTCTCCCCCCTCATAGTCCAGGTAAACTCCCAGCTTCCTGGGTCTCTCTCTCAGGGAAAGGCGGAGAACTGATGCACCAGCTTGATATTGATCCCCGTTTCTCATTACCACAGCCCAGAATCCGTTCTCTGGTGTCAGTGTGATCTTTCCTTTCCTGCTGACAGACTCTCGGGCCAATCCCACATCCCACTCAGTCTTGTTGGCCACCTGTACCTCCCAGTAATGTCTCCCTGATGTGAAGCCCTCAGACCCCAGGACACAGACACAGGGATCAAACCTTTTCCGGGAGTCAGGGAGCTGCTGCCGTGTGTCTCCGTCTCTGACGCTGGTCAGGTCCTCAGACAAGATGAGGTAGGGATTCGCTGTGTCAGGATCCAGAGTCAGAGAGGCCGGAGCTGAGAGAGAGAAACAACACAAAGTGTAGTGAGGGGACGTCTGGAGCTCAGACCGTGTGTGAACACACCAACACCTGGAGACACAATCCAGCTCAGAGGGTCACAGTCAGTTTGAGCGTCGAGTGAGTCTGTGTGTGAGGTTGTGTGTGATGGTTGTGTGCGATTTTGTGTGTGTGAGAGGGGTTGTGAAGTTGTGTGAGGGATGTGTGTGAAGAGTGTGTGTGGGAGTCTGCGTGAGGCTGTTTGTGAGTTTGCTTGTGAGGGGGTGTCTTTGAGTGTGTGTTTGTGAGGGATGCGTGTGAGGGTTTATGTGTGAGGGCTGTGTTTTGCCGTGTGTGTAAGAGTGTGTGTGATGATCTGTGTGAGGGGTTGTGAGAGGGGATGTATGAGAGGGGTTTTTTGAACGTGTGTGCGCAGTTGTTTGGGAGCGGGTGTGTGAGGGTGTGAATGAGGGGCTATGTGCGGGGGTGTTTGAGGATCTGTGTGAGGGTCTGTGTGTGGGATTATGTGAGGGTTATGTGTGCGGAAGGGTTTGAGTATTTGCGTGAGAGTTTGTGTGAGCGATGTGTGTGGCGGAAGGTGTGAGGGTATGTGAGAGGTTGTTTGAGCGTATGTGAGGGATAGTGTGAGAATGAGAGTGTGAGAGTGTCTGAGGTTGTGTGTGAGGGGCTGTGAGAGGGGTTCTGTGAGGACTTGTGTTAGGGTGTGTGTGAGGGGATATGTGAGAATTCGTGTGGTTTGAGTGAGGGTCTATGTGAGGGGATGAGTGATGGTGTGTGTGAGTGTTTGTGTGAGGGTGTGTATCAGTGTGCGTGTGAGGGTGTGTGTAAGGATGTGTTAAGTTTGTCTGTGTGAGCATGTGTGTGAGTGTGTGTGTGTGTGTGGTGTGTGTGAATGTGTGTGTGAAGCTGTGTGTGTGAGGAGGTGGTGTGAGATGGTTGTGTGTGTGTGAGTTTCGATGTGAGAGGTTTTGTGTGAGCGTATGTTCGACCGCGTGTATGTGAGGGTGTATTTGAGTGTACGTGCGTAAGTTTGTGTGTGATGGTTTGTGTGTGATGGTGTGTGTCTGAGGGTGTGTAGGAAGGGTGTGTGAGGCTGTGATTGAGGGTGTGTGTGTGAGGGTGTTTGCTGATGCGTGTGGGTATGTGACTGGGTCTCTGAGGATGTGTTTGTCAGCGGTGTATTCCAGGGTGTACGCGAATCTATGTGAGGGTATGTGTGAGGGTTGGTGGAGGGATTGTATGAGTGGTTGTGTGAGAGTGTGTGTGATGGAGTGTGTGAGTGTTGTGTGTGTGAGTGTGTGTCAGAGTGTGCGAGGGTCAGTGTGACGGTCGGTGTGAGGGTGTGTGTGAGGGGGATGTGTGAGGGTTTGTGTGAGGAGATGTGTGAGAGTGTGTGTGAGGGTGTACGTGAGGGTCTGCATGAGTGTGTTGTGAGGCTGTGTGAAGCTGTTTGTGAGGGTGTGTGTATATCTGTGTGTGTGACGGTGTGTGTGAGGTTGTGTTTGTAAGTGATGTATGTGAGGGTGTGCATGAGGTTGCTTATGAGGGATTGTGCGAGGGATTGCTTGATTGTGTGCATGAGGGGGTATGTTAGGGTTGTGTGTGAGGGACTGTGTGAGGGTCCGTTTGTGGGAATGTGTGACGGTGTGTTTAAGGGTGTGGGCGAGGGGTTAGAGCATTGACACTATGACCCTCACTGAAACCTGGCTCACCCCGGGTGACACCTTCCCCATAACTGAGGACACACAAACCGCTACACCTACCTCCATGCCCCCAGCCCCAACCGTCATGGTGTTTGGGTGGCCATTAGCTTCAGGGCATCACTGGCCCTGACCCCCTATTCCAACGGCTCATTACCCTCTTTCCAACACCTTACCCTCTGCCATCCTTCCCACCTCTCGCTAAAAATCCTAATTTGCTGCCACGAAAACCTTCCCCCACCTTCATCTCTGTCATCTGGAGTCCTGTAGCTCAGTGGTTAGAGCACTCGCTATGCAAGTGAGAGACCTGAGTTCAATTCCAGGCAGGGCGAAACCTTGGGCAAGTTTCCTTACTCCACACGCCTAATAATAATCCCTCCAAAAACCAACAACTATAATTAAATTGGTCATTTTCATTCTACGACTGTTTGTGGGACATTGCTGTGCGCAATTGGCTGCCGCGTTCGCCCACAAATATACAGTCAATTCACTTTACAGTGCGTTCTGTGAAGCGCTTTGGGACGTCCTCCCGACGTGAAAAGCGCTATATCAAATGCAAGGATTATTATTATTATTATTATCTCCACCTGCCTCGCCTGCTCTGCCTCTGCTGCGATCCACTCATTATCCTCGGCCACTTCAAACTCCACTTCATCCCCTCCTGCTCCATCTCCACAGATATATCTTCTCTCCTCCTGTGTGATGGGAGTATGCGTGAGTGCTGTGTATATTAGAGTTGTGCTTGTGATGTGTGTATGTGTGAGCGGTGCATGTGTGTGAGAGAGGCAATAATAATCCTTGCATATGACATTGCACTTTTCTTGTCTTCTCGACATCTCAAAGCGCTTCACAGGATAGACTGTAAAGTGAATTGATCGTAAATTTGTGGGCAAAACGCGGCAGCAATTTACGCAAAGCAGTGTCTCACAAACAGTCGTGGATCGAAAATGACCAACGTTAAATGTTTTTTTGTTTTGGAGGGATTAATATGACGTGTGTGGAGTAAGGAAATTTGCCCAATGTTTCGCCCTGCCCCGCATTGAACACAAGTGTCTCCCTTGCAAGGTGAATGCTTCAATCATTGAGCTGAAGGAATACACGGGTTGTGTAAGAGGTGTGTGTGAGTGTGTTTGTATGTGAGGTGTGTCAGAGCGGTGTGTGTGAATGGTGTGTTTGAGGACTGTGTGTGTGAAGCGTGTATGTTTGAGATGTGTGTTAGGTCTGTGAAAGAGTTGTGTGTGTATGTTTGCTTTTTGTGTGAAGGTGTGAGTGAGAGATTGTGTGTGACAGGTTGTGCGTTTGTGAGTTGTGTGCGAGAACTGTGTGTGTGTGTTACGGTATGTGTGTCTGTGGGTGTGTGTTTGTGAGGTTCCTGTGTCTGATGGGTGTATTTGTGCGTGTGGGGGTTGGGTGGGGGGGGGGGGGGGGGGGAAGAGCAATTACGTTTTGAAATCCAGGTGAATGTCAAGCCATTGACACGACATCAGATTGAGAATGGGAGACATTTACCTGGGCTGATGGTATCTATAATCTGTCTCCAGACTGTGTTCTTCAAAGGCCATTTGTACTTGGCCACCGGCAGCTCAGCCTCACACACTGACAGATGAAACCCCTCGTCACTGACCCTGAAATAAGACATCATCACACTGTAAAGTGAAACTGCACCTTGTGGTTGGTTTGTCGGTTCAATTCTGGGATATTTGGTAAAGATCATTTCATACCTTCTGTTGCCAGCAGCTTCCTCCTAATGAAATCAAACACAGACAGATGTCAGTTCACACTGAGACACCACTACCGACAAAAAAATACAGGTGTACAAAGTCTCTCACGTCCCAATTCGATCTCTGATCTCTTTCCCAATCACAATTAGATTGTCTTCCTCAGATTCTGTGTAACTGTTAATGAACTACATTATAATGTGATCTCTTTACCTGCAGGAAGGCCAGAGCGTCTTTTCCAATCTGTGACTGTAACTCGGAGAGTTCTTGTTGAACAGAATCTAATTTGCACTGAATCTCTCGCAGATTTGTCTCCATTCTCTTTAAAATCTCCGCCTCTCGCTGTCTGAGATCTCGAATCACTCGCTGCTCTCTGTAAGTCAGACTCTGGTGCATTTTAGCAAACTCACCCGTGACGTGAGTCTGTAGACTGTTTGCATGTTCCTGCAAATGTCAGAAATCCAACCATCACACACAGTAACCAGAAGCACTGAGACATCACACCGTGTACACACAGTAACCAGAGACACGGCATCACACCGTGAACAAACAGTAACCAGAGACCCACTGACAGCCCAGACATCAGCCCATACACAACTTACCTTAACTTGTGAAATCTTTTCTCTCTGTTCGGCTTCAATCTGCAGAGCACTTTCCTTCCTCTGTGTGAGAGAAGCTAAGGAGGATTTCGCTTGATCCTGGAATAAACGCAAGAAATAAAAATGTTTGAGGTGGAAACATAAAGTGGAAAAAGCGTGAATCCCTCGTGAGTGTACCGTTACCTTGTAGATTTCAGCAGCTTCGTCAATCGGCAGCAAGCTGTGACCTCTGTGTTCCTGACCATGAATGCAAACTACACATATCAATTTCTTGTCTGTTTCACAGAACAACTTCAGTTCCTCCCGGTGTTTCTCACACTGAGGTTTAATTGCCAACTGTGTTGGGACCAGAATGAATTCACGAGCTTTCTCCACTAAAATGGCCAAGGCCCAATTAACGTTCAGTTTCCTCTCAGCAGTAACTTGGCGACATTCTGGACAGGAGTTTTCCTTATGCTTCTTCCAACTCCGGGTGATACAGGAGCGACAGAAGTTGTGGCCACAGTCCAGACTAACAGGATCGTTTAAGAATTCCAGACAAATGGCACAGTTGAGCTCCTCCGTCAGACGCTGGACCTGATGTCTAGAAGCCATGTTTACCCAAAGTTTCTCTGGTCCGAACTGTTTCAGGCTCAGTGCATTGATGCTGTGTGTGTCCCGCCCTGTGACAGAGTTCACTCCATTCTGATTCACACAGCTTCACGTGGGGATTCAGGATTGTTAATAACGCCCAGGATTTGGAGGAAGGGAATATGTGATGTGGAAATGGACCAAAGTTCACCAAAGAACAGATCAAATGAGGATGAGTATGCAGATGGAGGAGATAAGAATCGCAGTAAATATGGAACAAGGCATAGACACAGAGAGCAATAATCCTGATTCCTCTCTTGAACACTTTGAAATTACCTGTAAAGGAGGGGCCTCCTGGGCCTTTACTCTCCTGATTAATAACTTCTGATTAATCAAATCTTTTAGAAGATCTCCCCATTCCCACATCTGCCGAAACGATCCCTGTTCATTACCCCTCCCACCTCACAATATCTCCCCTCCGCACACAATTTCCCGTCACACAATCTCCCCCCTCCCCCCACACAATATCTCCCCTCTCCTCATTCAATTAACCCTCACAGAATCTCCACCATCCCCGCACACAATCTCCCCCCTCCCCAGAGACAATCTCCCCTCACACAATGTCGCCTCAGCCCACAAAATTTCCTCCCTCACCTCACAATCTCCCCTCAGCACACACAATCTCCCCTCCCCATACACATACTCCCAGCTCCTCCCACACAAGCTGCCCTTCCCCCCACAAATTCTAGCCTCCGGCCACGCGACACGCTCCCCACTCCTTCCGCAATAAACCAGGATTCACAGTGATATTTGAGTAAAATTATATTATTGCTTTACTTGCTCATTACTAACATTCGATTGTCTCTTTTCCCTTGACCACCCCCACTCCCTACAATCCCCCACCCCACACTTTATACCTCTCTATCTGCTGGCTTCCTGCAATCTCCAACCCCTACCTTTCTCGTCTAACTCTAAGACCACATTCTCTCCCCAGATTTACTGGAGAACTTTCAGCCAATTTTCTACCAGCTCCAGTATTCTTGTCTTCAATCCCTTCACTTTCCTCCCTCCCTCTCGACTGTCACACGCCATTTGTTTTTGAATGTGCCTTTACCCACAGAGGGTGGGAGGTAAGCTGGTTCTGCTTGGAGCTGAACTGGCTCCAAGGTGACATGTTTGCCATAAACCAGGCAGCTCCACAGAACAGCTCCTCCAAATGCTGATGCACAATAAATCAGGGCGAGCTGAGAAACACTGACACAGCAACTGATAAACCAGAACTCACCTTGTTTCCAGTAAGTCACTAAGCAGCTTGTAGTTGTGTTGCAATAACGAAAAGGACCAGTTCTAGTTAAATATTTTTTTAATTGTATGACTCTCCTTACATCGTTATCAAAGTAATCTTTGACCAACGTTCAAGAATATTGCCACCTGCTAAAACATGCAGTATAAAATCACTAGCGTGTATGTACAGTTGATCACTTTTGCGATCAGAACCGATGGCCCAGATTCCACGTCTACGCCAATAAGACCAATATATCTATTGTCAAACCCCACCTTAATTTTCAGTTGCCCGCTGTGCCACTCTCCTGAACTCCAGCACAACAGCAAAATGATTCAGATATCTCTGTCCATGTACTCACACCAATCTAGTTTCACACACCCATCAATCCAGTCATTGCCTGATCTATACATCATCTGGAGCTTGATACTGGAATTGAGGAATCGAGCCAGACCTCTATGATTGTCTCCAGTACTGTTCCTGATCCAGGTGCGCCCACAGTGTGCAGTGTGAGGATTATTATTGTCGAGATCAGGAGCTGAAAGCTCCAGCCTGATGTTTATGGAGTGAAACGTGACTTAATGTAGACTTTACTCTGTGCAAATTTGCTCCGCATTCGGTCACAGACACAACAGTCGCTTCACAATCGATCCCGAGAAACGTTTGAGCCGTGGGCCCAGTGTGACAGATGTTATATAAATTGCAAAATTTATTGTATAACGACAGAGATTATAAACGGTTCAGCCTGGTGGCCATCACAGACAAACACAGGTCTTCGTTGAGGATTTCCTCCTCATTAGTCTGTCATCCGGCAGATCCTCAGAGGGTCACAGTTTTTACCTCCATAATTCAGACTCGGATTGAAGAAAGGATAAAGATTGTCAGTGAAACGCTGGGTGAAAGTGTGTAGATGAGACATGTTATCAGCGTTGTAAAATGTCACCTGTCCCCCTCATAGTCCAGGTAAACTCCCAGCTTCCTGGGTCTCTCTCTCAGGGGCAGGCGGGTGGGAGGTGAGGTCAGAGCTTTATATTCCTTCCCGTTACTCAGACACACTGCCCAGAATCCATCCTCTGGTGACGCTGTGATCTTTCCTTTCCTTTTGACAGACTCTCTGGCCAATCCCACTGTCCACTCAGTCTTGTTAGCAACCTGCACCTCCCAGTAATGTCTCCCCGATGTGAAGCCCTCAGACCCCAGGACAGTGACATATTTACTAAACATCTTCGGGGAGTGAGAGATCTTCTGCCATGTGTCTCCGTGCCTCACGCTGGTCAGGTCCTCAGACAGGATGAGGTCGGGATGGGCTGTTTCAGGATCTAGAGTTAGAGAAGCCGGAGCTGAGAGAGAGAAACAACACAAAGTGGAGTGAGGGGACGTGTGGGAGCTCAGACTGTGCCTGAACCCATCTGCACCTGAGAACACAATCCAGCTCAGAGGTTCACAGCCTGTGTTAGGGTTTGTGTGGTGGGGTGTGCAGGGTAGTTTTACGTCTGATTGTATGTGACTGAATGGGGTATGTGCGTGAGGAACCTGTTTGTCAGCTGTGTGAGGGGTGTAAGGTAAGTTGTGTGTGTATCATGTGTGTGTGAGGTGTATGTGGGTCTGAGGTGTATGTGAGCAGTATTTGAAGAATGTTGTGAGTGTTGCCTGTGTAAGGTTATGTGTGTGAGGAGATTATGTGAGGTGTGTGTGTGAGAGATCTTGTTGAGAGGAGTGTGTGTGTGGCGAGTGTGAATGTTTGTGTGTGGAGTGTGTTTGAGTGGTGTTTCACAGATGCATGTGTGTGGTGGTGGTGGGTAAGGCGAGTGTGTGAGGGGTGTGTGGTGTGTGTGAGGTTGTGCGTGAGAAGTGTGTGTGGTGCGTGTCTAATACGTGTATGTGAGATGTCTGTATGTGAGAGTTGTGTGCATGCCGGGTGTGTGTTTGGTGGTGTTTATGTGAGGTTTGTTTTTGCGGTGTGTGTGAGAATATTGCGTGAGGGAGGTTTGTGTGTGAAGTGTGTTTGAGTGTTATGTGTATCATTGGCGTATGTGAAATGTGCGTGTTTGAGTGGTGTTTGTAAGAGATGTGTGTGAGTGATGCGTGTGCAAGAGGTGTGTGAGAGAGGTGTGCAACGTAAACAGTGTGTATGTGAGAGCTGTGTGCTTGAAGGGTGCTTGTGATGTATGGTTGTGGGGTTTGATCTGTTATCGTGTGAGGCTGAGCTGCCTGTGGCCAAGTACAAATGGCCTTTATAAATAATAATAATTTGGTTACTTCATTCCACGATTGTTTGTGGGACTGTTTGTGGGACGCTGCTCTGTGCAATTCGCTGCCGCGTTTCACCCATAAAGTATACAATCAATTCACTTTACAGTATATTCTATGAAACGCTTTGAGACGTCCAGAAGACATGAAAAGGGCAATATCAAATGCAAGGATTATTCTTATTCTGTGAGAGGTTTGTGTGAGGTGTGTGTGTGTGAAGGGTCTGTATGAGTTGGGTGCGTGATTGATAGTATGAGTTGTGTGTGTCTCAGATATTTGTGTGATGAATGTGTGTGAGGTGTGTGTAAGAAGTGAGTGTTTGAGGGGTGTGAGTGTGTGAGGGGTGTATGTATGTGAGAGAGGTATGTGTGTGGGTGTGTGTTTGTGAGGTGTGTGCAAGTGGTGTGTGTGATCTGTGTGCCTGAGGTATGTTGTGTGGGTGCATGTGTGAGTTGTGAGCGAGGCGAGTGTGTGAGGGTTGTGTCTGTGACATGTGTGAGGGTTGGATGTGTGTGCGTTGCGTGAGTGACGGTTGTGTCTGTGAGGGTTGTGCATGTCAGTTGTGTTTTTGAGAGGGTTGTGTGTGTGTGAGGCGTGTGTTTGTGTGTGTGTGTGTGTGAGGCTTTTGTGTTTGTGCTGGGTATGTGTGTGTCTGAGGGAGATTGTTGATTATGTTTTGGCGAATGTAATGCTATTGAGACGTCTTCAGGATGAGAATGGGAGACACCTACCTGGGCTGATGCCGTGTATCATGTGTCTCCAGGTTGTGTACTGTATAGGCCCATTGTATATCCCCACAGGCAGCTCAGCCTCACACACTGACAGATCAAACCCCACGTCACTGACCCTGAAATAAAAGACGGTCACATTATAAAGTGAAACTCCACCTTATGGTTGGTTTCTGGACTGAATTTTGGGATAATTGGTGAAGATAATTTCCTACCTTCTGTTGCCAGCAGCTTCCTCCTCATGAAATCAAACAAAAATAGAAGTCAGCTCACACTGAGACAACCACAGCAACACAATTCTCATTGCACAGCGTCTCTCACATCCCAATTTAAATCATTGATCACTTTATCGATCACAATTAGATTGTCCACTACAAACTGTGTGTAACTGTGACTGAACTAACATAACGTAGCAAAACATAACATGTAAGAGCAGTAGTAGGCCATTCGGCCCTTCGAACCTGCCCCGCTATTCAACGAAGCTGATCTTCTAATCTACCTCCAGCTAATAACCTGACCATGTCTTTTTCCCACATCCCTTCATCCCTTCAGCAATATGAAATCTATATAACTCAGTCTTGAATACGTTCGAGGACTGAGTGTCACTAGCCCTTTGTGGTAGCGAGTTCGATACATTCACCACCCTGTAACTGATGAAGCTCTTCCTCACTCATTCCTCAACCATTTTAAGGTTGTGACCCCTGGTTTTAGTTCTCCAACCAGCGAAAACATTCTCCCACTATCTACTCTTTCATGCCCTTTCTGTAAGATCCCTTCTAATTCTTTTATAATCTGGAGAATATAGATCCAAGTTGGTCAGCCTACCCTCGTAACTCATCTCCTTCGTCCCTGG